ATCCAAAACAATAAAAAGGCATCATTAAAGGCTAATCCCATCCTAAAAGTGGTCAATATGACTTGTGTGTTACATATTACAAATATTTTGGAGCCAAATTATATTGTAGCTTTGAGTGAAGAACCAACACAAATTTTATGTCACCATGAATTTAAAATTCCAATTTTTTCAACGGAATATTGCAGTGTTTATTATAAATGATTCATCTGTGCACATCACTTTTTTACATTCATGTAGCCCACCCTTGTAATTTTTAATCAAAAACATTAGCACAGTCAATGTTCAAAAGATAAAATCAAGTCCCACCCTCCATTTTTCTTGTTCGAGAAGTTGTTGTACTCGTATATATGTCACAGTAGGGTAGAAAAGATAATTGCAAGTTTCATGCCGACTTTAAGTCATTATTTACTGATATTCATCCCCTGCAGCAAACTGCTAACCACTGTGACCACCAGTGTTTTTACATGCACTTTAAAAGTTGTATTTCAGTCTGTCTAAAATCGTGCCAGTCAGGTTTTTGCAAAGTTAAACTAACAGACTAACAGATAATTCAACTGTACTTTGGCTTTGTCCAGCATGTATACATGTCAATCAGACTACAGTTGGCCTGACTGTTGTGCGCATGCTCCAAAAAACAGATATGACACACAACAGCTATTTCACCCAGTAAACCCACTGTAGCTTGATAATAACTACAAGTTAAACGAACCTGATCAATCTGGTTTGTGAATGAGTCATTTGCTGCATCTTAATTCACCAACTTAGAGTAGAGTAGACAGGTTTTGGGAAATACTACCATCAGGTCATAACTGCGTCTTTAATGGACCACTCTGTCAAATTGTTACTTGCATCCTGTCACTGTAAAATGGCCTGTCAGTCTTATAAATGTCCTCATATGTACACACTCCACATTTAAGTTCATTTAATTTATGTATCAGGGTACCTTTGGAATACTAATTTCAACATACTACGATTAGGAACACACTAATTCTAAAATGGAATATTATTTAGGATGAATAGCATGAGAATGAGGACGCAGCAAGTGAGACCAAATTTGTGAACTGCAGCAACTGATTCATTCAAAAGATTCAAAAAACGATTAATTAAATTCACTGAAAAAACGTTTGCTCACGTGCCAAGATTTTAAGTGAAAAACATTAAAATACAGGGGGTGGTTGCATATATTGCTTGGACTAGTCTTAAGTCATCTAACATTTTCTGCAAGACTGGTCAAAATATTTTAAAGTCAGTTATATAAAAAGGTAGATTTGTCTAATTTGAATCCAAAAATTAAGACTGATTATCGCTTGGATACCTGCTAGTTAGTCAAACTAGTTCCCTATCATGTTCCCTCCTTTCAGGGAACCGAGGTTACGTACGTAACCGGAGACGTTCTTAAGACACGGTCTTAAGATATTGGCTATGTTTATGCAACTGGTCCCATGTCTGTTTCTCACACAAAACTTCATATGGCTTCATAATTTGTATGGACCATGTTTATTGTACTTTATGGTGCTTTTTGTCATTTTGGAGTATGACAGTCCTCAGTCACTTTCAATATATGGAAAAGAGTAACTGGAATATGATTCCAGAAATTCACTTTTTGAAAAAAAGTCATACACATTTGAAACAACATAAGTACATAATAATAATAATTTATGCATTTAGCAGACGCTTTTATCCAAAGTGACTAACAGTGCATTCAGGCTATAAATTTTTTACCAGTATGTGTAAGTACATAAAGTTTAGTATTTCTCACCTGACACTTGTGAGGTCTCTCTGTGGTGTGAACCTGTTTAATATGTCCATTCAGATGGTCTGGCCTACAAAAAAAAATCACACAATTTATGACACAAATACATAAACGAATGCTCTAATTGTAATGAATTTATCTATAAATGACTGCACTCACCTGGAGAAACCTTTCCCGCAGCTTTGACAGACATACGGTTTACCCACCGAGCCGTCGTGAGACCGCACATGGTAAGACATCCTATCCTTGCGTTTGAAGCGCAGCCCGCACACCGGACACGCGTACGGTTTCTCGCCCGAATGTGACAGTTTGTGCCGGTTGAGGTGGTAGACGTCTCGGAAGACCTTCCCGCACAGATCACACGCGACGTGTCGTCTCGTTCTCTCGCGTTTACGGTTGTCCGCGGGCAGACCGTTTTCCTGAAACCTCGACTGGGGATGAGAGATCATCGTCGGGCCGTCCACAGCGACCAGCTCCGCTCCCGTGCTCACCCCGCCGGTGAACGTCCCGTGCTGCATCTCGTGGTTTCTCAACTGGACGTCGTCTGGAAACATCTTACCACAAACCCCGCACGAGAAAATGCCCTCGTTTTCGTTTTGAGCAGTGCTGTTATTGTAAGTGATCGGCTCTGTTGTGGGCTCTTCTTTGGGTCTCCCTCTGCCTCGCTTGGAGCCGTCGCTGTTGTGAAACTCCAACGGAGAAACCGCTAAGCGATCGCCCGCTGGTGCTCCGGGAGCGGCCGGCTGCGAACCGTTTCTCGGCTGCGTCGGATCGCCACTGTCACTGTCATTGTTGTCGGTAAACACAGGGCCGTTGGACACGCTCCCGTTTGACATGTCCACGGGCAGGGGGTATGACAGCTGCTCCGCGGCCTTGAACAGGCTGTGCTCGCCTCCTCGGGAAGGAGGCACGAGGATCAGCACGTTGGATTGTTTGATGACCTCCTGACATATCTCGATGACAGATCGCATGAGCAGAAACTTCGCCGCGGTCATGAGCTCCGGGAAGCACTCCAGGCGCACCACGATCTTAGAGGTGTATGCGAAGTCCAGGATGTCTCGGAAAACTTTGGGGCTGATCGTGTGCATCTCCAGCTCCTTGCCCTGGCCGTCGTCTTCCGTTTGACAGCTGAACACAGACTCAAAATACTCGCTGCATGCCGCCAACACTGCCTTGTGCGCGGGGAAGCTCTCCTCTCCGACGCGCAAGATAACATCACAAAACCTGCCTCCATCTTTTCTCTGGCTGTTGAGGTTGTGTAGCATCTCGGCGCTGTGTTTGCTCACCTGGTACGTGTAGGAGGAATTCCACGGCTGTTCTGTCCTCTCCATGCCGCCTTTATTCAACAACCGAGCCTAACGCATACGACGGAAGAGGTAGACAAAGGCAAACGAATGGCAAACACCCAGTAAACAGAAGCACTCAGCAGCGACCACCACTCCTCGCCTTTTTAGCATTTAACATGTTAGCAGGGGGAAAAATGGCAGCCCCCCAGCTTCCTGTGAACTTTGACCTTTGCTTAAAGGGAGGGGGTGTCGTTCGCGTTTAATATTTTCTGTTTTAACACAGTTTAATACATTACTTCAATCCAAAGATAACGCACAGATACTAGTCATACACCGAAATTTAAGTTTCGTGTTCGTCTTCCTGGTTTGCAGCGTTATGATTTCACATCCTTGTTTTCCAGTGAGCCCCCACCCTCAAATGTACGCCAGACACTGAATACATGACAGCAGACTATTTCTCTATATTGGAACATATTTAGAAAATATACAGTGAACGAAATTAAAGTGAACAGTCAAAACTCTTGAAATGACACTGTAGTCTAGACAGTCAGCCAGGCAGCTGCTCTCCTGAACTGCTAGTTTACTTTTCAATCACAAAGACACAAACAATAGAGAAAGGTAGTTGTTGTAGACTGTACACTGGCTTGCAGTGTGTCTGGCTGCTGTATTGTTTGTAGTTGTGGTAATCAGATGTACAAATACTTTAGGGAAATATTACTTTTAAATCAAATATAATTACATAATGCAAATATTTTTTTGAATATTAAAAAGTTGTTTCAGTTCGTGCATTATCCGGTGTGCTTGGGTTTGTAAAAAGCCTGATACAACACAAAACAATATTGTGCAGAACAAAGTTCAGTAAAGGGAGTATGGCTTGGACATGCATGGATAACACTAGAACAGACTCCAATTTATGTACCAAGGACACCTGATACATGCAAAGCTATGAAATTCTACAACATGCCACAGCAGTTTTGGCATTTTGAAAATACACTTGGCAAGAATAGACTAAGATGACGGTCTAGTTACAGTGGGATATAAATGAACTGTGGCACAACACTGCAATATAGCTACATCCATTCAATGCAGAAGATTTGTTCCTCAATCAACCATTTGGAAAGTCTGCTTTTTTACTTTAAGACCTTGACATAAATAAGTCAGAAATACAATTTTGTGTGAATTATTTTTTTATTTAATTTTTTCATATTTATTAACTATTTGTGCTTAATTTAATAGCACATTACTTAATCGTCAACCCCTGCCACCCTAAAACAAATGTGATTCAGAGCAGTGCTTCTCAGGTGACTAAGAAGACTGGCTGGAGGAAGGATGGGAGGGTTCTTTAAAAAAAAAGAAAAAGAAAAAGAAAAAGGCACAACTAGCATTCACTTCTTGGGGTGGAAGAATGTCCCCTCTTGCAGAACAATCTGGCTTCAATATTCCAGCAAGTTTCAAGGGCATGTATCTCTGGATCAGGGATGCATTAAAACGCTACACACGAACATCTCCTTTCCAACAAATCAGCAATACTGCCCATTGCCGCCCGGATCAACCCTAGATGGGAAACATGGAACATTGTGCGGACAGTGTGACTGGACAAAGAAAAAGCAACTTTCCAGTTTCTCAATAGCAGGATAACCTTCCCCACATGAAGACAGAAAAAGAAGAGAAAAAATAAAAAAAGTCAATTCTATGTACAAGGTGGAAAAAGAAAAATCTATTCCCATAATCTGTACAAATTCAGGCCTATACATTATTTACTTTACTGCAAAAACCGAAAATTCAAAACAAAAACTATGAGAACATTTGTGACAAAAGCGGTAGGAAAGGTGTCTTTTCCCTTTTTCCTCTTAACTTCAGGCCTTCCCAAAAAAAACA